CACAAAATAGAGCTGGGAGAGAGAGAGAGAGAGAGAGAGAGAGAGTATGAATGGACAGTGGTATGTCCTGTATGTGGTAATTTCAGAGAGGTATGTAAGGAAACCCTCCTGGGTAATAGTTAAGTTGTATGCATTTCTCTGAACTCATCAGTTGGCACACTGAAGACCTACACATTCTACCTTGTATAAAATTTGCCTTAAAAGGGGAGAAAAAAGGAACCACAAGCAAATAATGAACTCCAATGATGTGCATGGTGAAACATTTAGAGATGAAATGTATTCGTATTTACAACTTACTCTGAAATACAACAACAAAAAAAATAAGATGGATAGGTGGATGGATGGTTGAATAAATAGGATGATGGAAAAGTAGAAAGAAGTGGTTGAATACATATAGCAAAATATTAATTGTAGAATTTAGTTAGCAGATTTATGGGCAAATTCTTTCAACTTTTCTATGTATTTGAAATTTTTATGAGAAAATTTAGAGAAAAAAATAGAAATATAAGCATGGTATTTAAGTGAAGTGACCTAATGACCAGGAGAAATATCCAAGAGTTGGAAGTGGCTGACTCTTGGAGAGTGAAAAGAGATGTGATCAGGGTCTGATGGTTTGTGTAGAACCTATGACATTTAAGTTTTAAATTCTGTATATAAATCACTTTGATTCCAAAAAAAGAACTAAAAAAGAAAAGAGGACTCAGGTATTGATATGTGTATTAAATCATGAAAGGTATTTGCACAAAAATGTAGGATTTCATAATTTGGGAGTCGATATGACAAACAGGATTGAGGTGTCACGGCAATAAGAGGGATGCCAGGGTCCCTCGGTTGTAAGTTCTGAAAGGCATCTCTGATCAGGCACAGTCGGATTCAGGCAAAGAATAGCAGGATCAGAGATTCCCAAGGTGTGAACTAGAGAGGTTCAGTGGACTGAGGCATATGAAGGAGGAGGAAGAGGAGGAGGAGAAGGAGAAACAGGAGGAGGGAGAGAAGGAGGAGAAGGAGGAGGATCATGTTGCATGTGTATCCATGCTCCAGTTAAACAGCCCTTGATGACCAGAGGAGTTCAGGCTCCTGAGCTGTTTGCTTATTGTAATTGCTACTCTTTTGTCTTCTTCTGATTTTGCTTTTTTTTTTTTTTTAAATAAAATCTGTGCTCTGAAAATCCAGGCCCTTATCTGACTGTCAAGAGACAAAGGTTGGAGAAGGGCAGAAAGACCTCGCCGTGGTGCTGGAGGTAGGGGTTCCAGGGAAAGAGCCCCCTCCCTGCCCCCTCTGGTTGCACCCCCCTCCAGGTCTCCTGTTCATTACACCTGGGAGGTCCTGCCATTTGTTTTAACAAGGAAGGTCCACTGTTAAGGCCTCATGTATTCTCAACCATGGAAAAAGACTCATGGCCTGAGCGGGTATTAGGCACCAAATCCAAGAGAGTCAGTCCATTTGCCATGAACAAGACTGAGGTCCATTCCCAGCAGTATTCCGAAAGCTTCCCTTTCTTGAACAGGATAGGAAGAAGTTAAGGGTGGAGTCAGGGCATCCCAGCTCAGAGGGAAAGGGTAGAAAAGAGAGGTGTGGGAGGCAAGGAGAGAACCTTCTACTCAGAAAAGGAGGGGACTGGGGCAATCTGGGGTCCTCTGGAAGTGCTGGGAACAGAGACAGGGCTGCAGGGTTGGTGATAAACGTTCCCCTGGAATGCCCAGAGTCTTGGCAGCTGGATGAGAGACAGCCATGTACCTCTGGCCGGCAGGTGCCTGCCCCTAGTGACAGTGAATGGCACCAAGCACAGACACCCAGGGCTCTGGCACAGAGCCGGTAGCTGCCACTGTGGAGGTTTTTATGCTAATGCCACTTGTCAAGCCGTCAGCTCTCAGGGTAGCTGAACCTGACAGGGAGGCAGCTGGGTCCCCTGAGTTTTGCTTCCCCTGAGCATCTCCCAGGTCCTCAGAGATGTCCGGCACAGGCTCAGAGCTGACTTTCCAGGAGGACTAGATGAGCAGGAGGGGGATCGTGTTTAAGGGGCTTGGGGGCTACAAAGGGGAGAGGGGACCATTGGCCCTCCCATGGGCTTCACCCCAGAAAGTTCCATCCTCCTTTAAAACCCACCCATTCAGAAGTGGGACCTCAGCAGGTAGGAGGGACAATACAACAGGGCTTTTCTGGATATTAGGCAGATATTTCCTGGATATTCCTAAGATATCAGGCAGCTTTCCATCCCTATAATGAAATACCTGAGATCATTAACTAGTAAAGAGAAAAGGTTTATTTTGACTCCCAGTTTTGGAGGTTCTAGTGCAAAATATGGTGGACCATTGCTCTGGACCTCTGGTGGGCATGCTGGATGGCAATGACGGGGACTGTGTAGTGGAACAAACTATTTACCTCATGGCCGGGAAGCAAAAGAGAGGAAAAGAAAGGGTCTGGGGTTCCACATCACCTTTGAGGGCAAATCCCTAATGACTTAGGAACTTGCCATGAGACCTTGCCTCCTAATGGATCACAGCTCCATAGCAGCTCCTTGGAGACCAAGTCTTGAACATATATAACTTGGGAGTCCTCAGCTTCCCAACTATCACAGAAGGGAATGGAGAATTCATTCTAGATCACTAGATCAGGCCCAGGAGCCCTGCCTAGGGTAGAGGGAAGGGCACAGGGCATAGAGACAGAGACCTGGGCCCTAGTCACGTCTGTGCCACTCTTACCATGTGGCCACGGATAAGTGACTTTACTTCTGTGGCTTCAACTTCCTACTGTGTGCATGAAGCATGGGTGGCAATAGTCTAGATGCGTTCATCTACTGAATTCAATGAATATTTTGCAAGTGCCAAGTCCCCATTAAATGGTCTGAAGATGAATTAGAGTCAGTGCAGACGCTGCCATCAGATGATGGCATTCTCACAAGTAGATGGAAGTTCTTCAGGTCTAAAGGTCCGGGATCTGTGGGAAGATATCTAGGGAAGATGCAGGAGGGGATTATGACCTCCCCTAGCCAGCACCGATGGCCGCAGCTGGATCTGAGGCCTGTGAGGTTCCCGAAAATGACTCTCAGAGTTGTGTGGCAGGAGGGATTTGTGGGGAAATCCACTTCCTGCCTTTCTTCCAAAAGAGGTTGGGAGCACCGGTATCCAGGAAAATCACTGACCTTGGAATCGAGACAGACCACCAGTTCCCAGGTCTGTTCCCGAGGACACTTTCTGTCCTCAGGAGTTTGGTTTTTTTAAAAAAATGATTACCATGCATCCCGGGAATGAGGTGCTTCTAAATGCAGAGTGCAGACCTGACCCTTCCTGGGAAGTCACCCCACCCAGAGTCTCTAGGGTGTAAGAGGGGGCCAGATTGCCACCAGCAGGGGAGCCTTCAGGAATGCCTCCTAACCCACTACCCACGCTACACACGGGTGTTCCACGAGATGTGTGGGGAGTTTTCCTGTAATTGGTTTATAGACGGTTCACTCAGCATTGTGTCTGGCCATAAAATATACTCACTTAATAGTCTCCAAGGAGTCTCAAAGCCTTCCAGGCTATAACTCCAAGCCCCCAGCCCCTCCTGCTTGGCCTGACACCTTGTTTGGTGAATCTGATTTGATTTTGATCTTAAATCTGCCCTCAATGCCTCAGAGGGGTAGCCCCAGGGAGGGGCTGGGAGTGAGGAGAGGAGGGTGGTTGCTGAGAATTATGACTTGGGACCATTAGGAAGAGATGACCGCTCGGCACAGCCTCTTCTAAATCACCCAGGGAAGACTGTCACTGCACACGCCGCTGCAGGCTGAGCTGGCAGGCAGAGAGGGCAGGAGGAGGGTGGAAATGTGGGGACTCTCTCACTGGCCTGGGTCTCCACCAGGCTCCAGGGCCTCAGCTCTCTGAGTGGGGTTTCCAGTGGCCACTGGGCCCTGGGAATTCTCTCAACCTTGCCTAGTAGTGCCTTCCTCCCTTCACAGGACTCTGAGAAGTAGGTCCCCAAAGGTAGCGAGATGGGCACCCTGTGGTGAAGGAATAAAAACTGCAGGGCTTATTGTCCTTCTGGTAGAGGGTAAGAGTCCTGTGCCTGCATCTTGTTCTCTAGGATAGGCAAAGAAAAATGGAGCAGTGGAGACGCTCTGGCACCCTCCTCCAGTGGACTAGTCCACACTAGCTGCTGGCCAGAGGGGAGGTTCCTAGTCACATCTGTTGGCAGAGGTTGTTGGAAAATGGACCCTCCTGTCTCTCATTTCTCTTCACCTTTGTGTCAGCAGACAGTTTAGGGCAGTGGTGGAGAGCCAAACTCTGAAGTCAGACTTTCCAGATCTGAAGTTAAATTCCACCACTTAATTCTGTGACCCTGGACAAGGAACTCACCTCCCTGTGCCTCAGTTTCCTTAGCAAATAAAGTGCAGGGTAATGAGAGCGCACTCCTCTCAGGGTCACTGTGAGAATTACACATGCAGAGATCTCAGAGCAGGAGCTGGCGCACAGTAAGAAAATAATCCACACAAGCTGCTGCTCACCTTTGGTTAGTAATCCAAAGTGGGGGACAGGGGGCAACTGCCGGGACAAGCTCAGGAAATATACTGAATGGTTACTTTCCATTGGACCATGTCTTTTATGCATCTAAGACTTAGGAATGAATGAATGATATCTCCGAGCATGACAGTAGGGGGCTATAAAGACCCCAAGGCACTGTCTTGTCACATAGTGCTTACACTCTTAGAGAGTATGCTTCATGGCCAAGGTCAAAGGTAACCCCAGCACCAGTAGCTCAGAAAGAAGGGTCAGCAGGCGTCTGAAGCTAGGAATGGCCAGATATCCCTCTCCTAACATCAAAGCCCTTTAGGGAGCATTAGGAGAGGCTGGCGTCCAAGGGGCCCCGTGTAAAACGGCAGCATAGCACAATTTACTGAATTTACTGTCAATTAACCCTTCTAAGCTTTGACTTGTAGTCAAGATTTCCTAGGACACTTTGATCCCAGAATATTATTAACCAAAGGATCATTTCATGTTAGAGGCTAAGGAATCAAAAAGTCACACAGCTATGGCTTCATTTATTTACTTATTTATCAGAACTGGAGAGGCTGTAGAAAGCAACTAACATTGTCCCTCATTTTATAGAAAGGAAAACTAAAGCTCAGAGAGATGAAATGTCTTTTAAGTTTACTGATCCTCTCTCCCCAATGTGTCCCTATACTCGTCTTTGATGGAGAGAGACAGGGATCAGTTTCCCAGTTTGGGGAACTGGGAGGATAAAATGGCTTATCCAAAGCTATACACAGATCAGAGGCAGAAATAACCTGACCAGCATTCTGACCCCACCTTTCCTATTGTTGGAAAATCCTGATCTTGGGCACCCAAAGCCCCCTGGAGGGAACAGGGTGCGGGCAGATGCACTGGATCAGAATGAGGACCAGGCACCTTCCACCAGCCCTCTGTCAACTGCTTCTCTGCAGAACACAGCACAGCCTCAGAAGGAGCCTCGAGTGCCAGGGAGGCTCCAAGCCAGTATCAGGAGGATTTTCATGAACACAACTGTCTGTGTCTGGGCAGCCATGTGGAAAGTTGCAATATAACCCACTGATGTCATGTGGCAGGGGAAACAAGATTTCCAGAGCAGCCGCGCTGCTCTTTCCAACCTCCGAGTGGAGCAGAATCCCAGACAGGCTTCTGGAAGAAAGGGAAGAGAGAAGAAAAAAAAAAATCACACCAAATTGCAGACAAGACCCTGGTTCTGCAGGCTCTGAGGGAGGGTGGAAGGAGTTGGGAGGGTCCAGAGTCGCTGGGCAGATGCTGAGCTGGAGCTCCTGGAGTGGGCTGGAGCCACCCTCTAGAGCTCTACTCTAAGGTTGCTCTCAGGGCACTAGGAGCAAGGGACAGGCAGCTGACCTGGAGGAGCTGGGCCAGCCCTCCAGTGTTCATCAAGCTCTCCCAACATCTGAGAGCCCAGAACTTCAGAAATCACCAGGTCATTCCTCAGACCTCGGACAGGCTTTATTCCTACCTTTGACACGACACTCACTCTCGTGGTCTTTAAGGACTCCAGCTTTCTGATTTCTACAGCCCATTCTACCAGCCATTCTGGGATCACGTCTAAAGCAAATCCATCCTGATCAGTTTGAAGCATAGACCCGGTCTTCAGAGAAGCAGGACCCCGTGGTAGAGGGCAGAGAGACAGGACTGGGGGCCACCTGTCCCTCCTCTGTTAGTGTCCTGTGGGGTGTTACCTCACTTCCTCCCACTGACTGGCAGATCATGGCTGGGTCATGCAATCTCTCTGGGCTGCAGTTCACTTGTTTTTTTTTTGTTGTTGTTGTTTTTTTTTAATGGGGAAAAGGGAACAAATGATAAAGTTCCTTTTAGTTTGAAAAGTCTATTATCTTATGACTATTTATACAGGTAAGGGGCAGCAGTTTGGGGTAAGTTACATGAAAGATTTTTTTGTAGCTTTATTAATGTATCTTGAGGTTTCTAAATTCTGAAAGTCATCAATCTAATCCCAGAAAGCTTGGAAACCAAGAGTAAGCACTGCTTTTTTGAAAAACACCTGTTTCCCGAACAATCCAGAAACAATCTCTATTAACCTTCGGGGGTTGTTGTTGTTGTTTTGTTAATCATTATTTTAGTTGTACATAGTTATGGGTCTATTATTGTTTTCTGAATGTGTTATTTTAAGTCTTAAGTCTTTACCTGTCTATGTACCTTTTAAAAAGAATATACTATAATAATATTCTGCAGTCTGTATTTTAGTCATTTTGGAATGCATTCTAAGTATTTTCTTATACCAATATTCTACTACAAAATGGCATTTTATTATTTATATTTTTTTCTCATGGTTTTTGATATTCAAGCAAATCACAAAGGAATACAAATGGTCAATTAACGTTTAAAACATTCAGCCTCAATAACAACCAAAGACAAGGAATGAGATATTATTTTTACATATCAGGTTAACATAGATTTTTTTTTCTTAATACCTGATGAAGAAATGGATGATCTTTTACATAACTGGAGGGTTAGAACCTATCTATCTGGAAAGCAATTTTATATATTAAAACAATGTGTGTCTGATTGTTCACTTAATGATTTTATTTGGAAAAACTCACCCTATGGGAATAATTGCCTAAGAAGAAAAATATATAAGTACAAGAATGTTGAAGCATTATTTATATTTATAATAGCAAAATTTTAGTAATAGCCTAAATGTCAATTAACAGGTGTTGTGGTTTAGATATGAGGTGTCCCTTAAAAGTTCATATGTGAGAGAATGTAAGACTTTTCAAAGGTATAATGATTGGATTATGAAAGGTATAACTTAATCAGTAAATTAATCCCCTGATATGGATTGCCTGGGCAGTAACTGTAGGTTACTGGGCTGGAGGGTGTGGTAGGAGTAGGTAGGTTCACAAGGGATGGGGGTGCCTTTGGGGTTTATATTTGTCCCTGGTAAAGCATATTTTCCTATCCCCCGCCCTTCTTCCTGCTTGCCATGTCCTAAACTGCTTTCTTCTTCTATGCTCTTCCTCCATGATGTTCCGCCTCACCTCAAGCCCAGAGTAGGGTGTCAGTTAATCATGGACTGAACCTTTGAAATCAAGAGCCAAACTAAAAATTTCATCCTCTACATTATTCTTGTTGGGTCTGTTGGTCACAGTGATGAAAAAGTTATCTAAACTAATAACAGAATAGTTAAGAAAAGCATGAGACATACAAACAGCAAAATACTATGCAATCATTAAAAATGATAACGTACCCTTAAAGTTATTGACTTGGAAAGATGTCTTTGACATTTTGTGGTATAAAAAGAAAAAATCAGATAAAAGAACAGCAGGCAAAGTCTGAGCCCATTTATGTAAAGTCACATGCATAAATCTGTATGTGTCTTACAGAACAAAATGCCTGAAGCATTGTGCACTTCAGATAGGAGGGGCTTAAAGGTTGCAATCTGGTGAGAATGGGGTGGGGGAGGGGGAACAGGTTTGAGTTCTTCTTTTGCATCAGCATTTACTAACAAACCATCAGATTTTTTTTTTCCTCTGCTCATTTGGGACAGTGGGAAGGGACACTGATGCAGATTAGGAACACCTCCATCTTCCAACAGGTGTTGACCAAAATGTTAATAATGATCATCTATATGAGGAGGGATTTGGGATGTTTTAACTCCTGCTTTGAAATTCTGGTTATTATTTAAATATTTTACAAAATAATTTTGTAGTATTTATTGTTTGGCAAGACTCACAAGTAGTGGGGGTGTTTTTTTGGGTTTTGTTTTATAATATCCTGAGAGCTTGGATTTCTGCATCCTGCCTATCAACCCCTGCAATATAGCAGGTGGTTTTCCTTCCTCCAAGAACTTCAGTCCTCTCTTGCTAGGTTTGGGGTATCCAGGTAGGTACAAGCCCATAGGAATCTACACTCTCAGATTCTATCTGCATAGCATGCCCCATACTGGCCTCCCACCATCATAAGAGGGATGTCCAAAACACTTCTGCTGGGCTGCCCAGGAGCACCTCCCAGGTTTTGGTCCTCTGCCACCCTTTTGTCACATTTGCCCTTTGGGCTGATTAAACCACTGAGCTCCCAGCAGATAAGGAAATCCTGCCATCGACTCCACCCTCAACCTCAGCTCTGTTAATCCTGGCAATACCCAACCTGGCTTCTGACCTTGACCTGGTTTTATCTTTAATCTTTGGCTTTGCTGCTCCTTGGCAGTTTCAGGACACCCCTGATGTGAGCACGTTTTATCCTACCTGGTCCAACAGTTCAACAGACATCTACCAAGTGCTCACTATAGTGCTCACTATATGCCATACACTTGGCCAGGTTGTGAATAAGGAAACCATTAATTTAGGTCCCTAACCTTGAGGGAGCTCAATCTGTCAGAGGAGCCTGAAGGATGGTCACCATGATGGTAACCAACCCAGTAGGTTAATTACTGCCAGGTAGTGTTCTAAATGCTTTGTATGTATTATCTCATTTAACCTTCATTGTAACCCACGCAGTGAGCTCTATTATACTCTTTTGAAAGACTAGGAAACTGGACACAGAGAATAACTTTCCCACGTGAAACAGAAGTAAGTGCCAATCAGGAATCAGAACCTAGGTAATCTGGCTCCAGAGGTATCAAGTCTTAAACACTACATTCTATGGAAAAACAAAATGGAGCCATCTGCTGGGTCTTGTGATGGACATTAACACAAAGAGCTGTGGAAACTCAACAAAATGAGTCATGAAGTCCTCTGACTCAGACTCTTAACGTTTTACATGAGACCAGGACATACACCCAGCCTTCTCTCTACTGCTCTCCTGCCTAATGGAGGACCCACAACCCCCTGAGCTGGACTGGCCAGACCCTGTTCCACACTTCCTCTGACACAGTGGGCCAAGGGTCTGGTCCCCACCCCCAGGAAGGGGGGTGGAATGCATAGAGACACAGCTGGCCCCAGAGCTGTCCCAATTGGTTTTGGACTTCCTGCCATCCTCCACGAGCACCCAGTCGGAAAAAGGACTGGTGAACATGCCCCCGCCGTGGTTCTGCTTCCATTAGTAGCCATGCTTTCTGCAATAAAGGTGTTCCAGAAAATCTTTGTCTGAACAAAATGTTTGCAAATTGAATCCCATTTAGAATATATTGGAATTGTCAGCCGATGATACCATAGCATTAACTAGCATTGAGCTCTTCTTATGTACCAGGAATTTCGCTTGTAATAATCATTTAATTCTTAGAACAGCTCTGTGAGGTGTGTACCATTTTCATTATCCCCATATAACCAGTGAAGAAACTAATCCCAAAGAAGCTAACAGACTTGTTCAAGGTCACACAGCTAACTTCCCAGCCCAGCGCTCAGTCCCCAACCATCACTCTGGTATTTCTTCTCAAAGGAGCACTGAGTGACTTTCTAGGCAAACAGTCTGAGACCCAAGTTTTCTAAGCTCCAATTCACGTTTTGCCAAAGAAGAAGAAACCTCATTTTCTTGGCTCAAACCTCAGCCTCCAGTTTCAGTTAAAAAAAAAAAAAATTTTAGGAGCTGAGCTGCATGGGGTTCTAACCACTGTCCACCATGAGGTCTCACCACTGTCTACCATAAGGGGGCGCTCTAGAGATACCCTACCTCTGTCCCCAGCTGCAAGCAAGCGCAGGCGCAGGCGCACAAACACACAGACTTTCACTCTCAAGTGACTTTCTGGTCCAATCCCATACTGCCTACTGTGACCAGGCCAGCTGCTTGGGCCCTCGGGATTGAGTCACTAGGAGCCTGGGCAATGGAGAGAAAGGAAGCTGAGTAAAGGCAGCTAATACTATATCTATGATATGCAGCTTTGGTCGTAATAAACACTGCAGCTGAATATTCCCGCGGGGCCTTCCTAATGGAGGAGATGGATACACTCCAGAGCAACCCCAGGGGTTTTACACGCAACTCTGACTAAACTCCCTATAAAATCAATCCCGCCTTTTTCACCAGTTGTGACAGGGTGTTCTAATATTAATCCACTCTCCTTGTCAGTCAGCCCCCCACCTCAAAGGCTTTAATGATCTTTAGGCAGGCATGATAAACACAACACATCGAAGCAGAGAAGGCCAGGCCCAGGGAGTCCAGGGAGCTGCTGCCCCTCACCACAGCCACTCCGAGGCTCAAGAGGGACAAAGGAGACCCTCTCCGGCCCTTGAGTTGCCTTCTTTTCCAGCAGGATAGACTATGGAACAGCCGCCAGACCTGGCCAGCCAGCTGGGTGGAGGATGCAGGGCTAGTCCCTGGGCCCCCACCTCGCAAGCTGCCCAAAGCACTTTGCAGGATTCCAACTGCTGCCAATGCCGGCAGGCCCCGTGGATGCTGATTGTTCCCGGCAGCCCTGTTTCTGCAGCTCTACTTCTTACTTCTATATCTTGGGCATCTTCTTTTGTGCTTCTGACAGCTCCCTTCTCTCTAGAGGGAAGCTGGGTCTGGAGGGAGAATACTAGCAACCAAGGGAAGAACTGGAGGTTTCTGGGGCTCATTCCTAGGGGCTCATTTTTCCCATTGTCTGTCATTCTCATCACCTCGAAAACATTTTGCCCAGACCTTGGGCCCTCCCACACCTCCCTCTTGCTCTCTTGCTCCCTCCTGCCCTGGCCCCTCCCTTGGCCCCTCCAAGTCTCCTAGAGGTCCAGTAAGGGGTAGAACTGGGACCAGAACAGAGAGGCAGTCAGAGAGAAAGATAAGCAGTGAGTTGGAGGCAGAGACCAAAATGGGACCCTTGGGGGAGGATAAAGGTGAGAGGATGAAGAGGATATAGTCCAGAAAAGCCTTCATCTTTCTACCTCCACATCCATCTCTGAGTCTTCAAGGCCCTGTGAGTGTTCATGTGAGCCAAGCAGGGGCCCTGTGCTGGCTTTGAGAAGGCTCCCAGGGCTTCTCTCTCATACAGGAAGCTGCTCAATAGGCTGCAGTATAAGCTGCCTGGCAGCTTCCTCCTGAACCTCCCAGCAAACTCCCCCAGGCGACAGCAAGCTCAGAGCCTTGAGTCTGGCCTCTGACTTCAGGAAAAAAAAAAATGGCCAGAGATGTTTAATGCAGAACACTGGCCCACAGGGAAGCAGATCAGCAGGCCCAGGGGCCTCCCTGGTGGGTGCGACCTCCCCTGCGGCCCTGATGGCCCTAGAGATCTTGGCAAAGCCTGAAAAAGAGAAGCCATTTCACTCTTTTAATAAAATTTAGTTTAATTTTTTTCACTTTATAAGCAACATATTTTACCTAATAAAAATATGAATAATCAATATAAAAAGGAAGAAGGGGAGGCTAGAACCTGCACCAACCAATGTAATATTTGAACGCATCTTCTTCCAACATCTTCTTTTTCTTTGTAGTGTTGAATTAGGGCTTTGCCGTTGGACTTGTGCCAGAACCCTGTAAGGGTCATTTGCCTGTGAGACACCCTATGTGGGGGAAGGAAAGATTCTAGCTCACAACTTACTGAGGTGTCAGGGCACTACACTTGTGCGAGAAGAAGATGATAATGATACTGATGTCAGGGGGTCGTAAAGATTTCCATATGCAAAGTGGTTAGAACCGTGCCTAACATATAGTAAGCATGAAGTAAACGTGCTGACACTATCACTGAGAACATCTTTATAATTATATGTTCTAACTTCCCCATGAGGAATGAGGGACAGGAACTACTCTACCCTCCCCAGCAGCTGTTCTTCCCCGGGGATAGCCTAAGCACCCAGCTATGTAACAGATAGGCAGGACAGGATGTCACTCTTGGAGGACTGACTTAAGCATCACCAATCCAGGACTCAGTCTTTGCCAGGGTGGGAAGGAAGGAGACCTGGCTCTCCCCCCACCCCCCATGAGCTCTTACAGTCTGTCCAGTTTCATGCTGGTGCTTACATGACAAGCAGCTCCTTGTACTGTCCCTTGCCACTATAGAGATCACGTGTTCAATACCTCCCTCTTTTCTGCTTAGCCAGCCCAGGCTGCAGATTGCTCACAAGGCTACAGCCCAAGGGGCTCCTCCAATACACAGGGCTGGTTTATAAAAAGCTTTCATGTATACAGTCCTTAGCACTTTACAACAGAAAGCATCCAAATATCAGAACATCCAGGGAAGGAACCTTTGAGATCCCCAATAGCTGATTTGGCACTTACTGTGTGTCCAGCCCTTTACTAACTACTTTTAATATCTTATCTCATTTAATCCTCATAAGACTGTGTGGTAGAAATTACCATTACCTCATTTCATAAGTGGCTCAGAGAAATCCAGTCATCTGCCTTGCTACAGCTGTCACCTAGGTGACTTGAACTTAACTATGGGGAGACTGTCCTTTGTTCTGAGAATTGTCACTATGGACCTTTTCATTTTCTGCAGCTATTCTTCTAGGGGAAGACTGACACCTTGGTTAACCTGAATGCCAATTTAAAAAATATATTTAGATCATGTAAGCTAGGTATATCTCTTACCTGGTGCATAAGAAGACACGTGAGAAGGAGAAAAAACTGAGACCCACTGAGAAGGGTAAGTCACTTTCCACGGCCACATGGCTAAAAAGTCACAGAACTAGAACCAGAGCCCAAGGCCCTCCAACGTCATTTTTCTAGAACATCTGGCTGCTCTTCTGTCTCTTCCCAGAGGGCTGAGGCCAGAAACCAGGTTCCATGCTTCTCTGGTATCTGGCATACAGTGTCCAGAACAGTTCAGAGCACACAGCAGGTACTTATTCAATTCCAGGTAGTGGATTAATGTCAACTTCCTGCAGGAGACGATGCAGCGCACGCTGGGATGTGGATCCAAGTTTCTCTTAATGACCTTACACACAAAACTGAGCTCATGCACAAACTGTTTCGATTGCCGACCTGAACCTAGCTGGCACCTGAACTCTGGAAAGCCAAGTCTCCATGTTCTCTCCCCATCTTCTCCACCAAGCCCGCCTCCTCCTTCTATTCTCCCTTCCTCCTAAGAACATTGCATATTCCGAACCCAAGATGGTATCCCTTGAGAAGTTAATATTGTACAAAAGAATCCCAGAGAGGCAGAACCGACTGGAAACTTTTTGCAATGCTGGTGTCTAATTTCCTCTGGGACCTGCCGAGATTCTCTCCTTTTCAGGTTGGAAACTTTTGCCCAGTCTGAGCTGTCACTGGGACCACAGGCCGCAAGCAGGTGGCTTGAACAGGCCTCTTCTTGCAGTGGCATGTCTGGGTGGTGGTAACTATGCATTTTTTACTGAGTAAGTGAATTAATGGGCACATAAAACATACACAACTTGTCACCCTGTTAGCTGCTGCCATTGCCATAGCGGCTCGCCCTGCCTCGGGCTCAACTAAATTGCTCATCCACTCCCTCTCTTCCTCCCTCTCTCTTTCCTTCCTTCCTTGGTGGCATTTTTGCCCTTAAAGTCCCTCTCTCTCTCTCTCCTTCCACTCTGTAAATACCTCTTTTCCCACAGCTTCAGTATTTTTAAGAACATTCTTATTTATTTATTTAACATTATTTCCCGGGAAGCCACTTCCAGAGACATCTCTGCCATGGAGGTTTATGTGCCTTTGCTGACTTAATGCCTTTTCTTCTCTCCCTGTCCAGGAGACCAAGGTTCAGGGACAGCAGCAGCCCAGAGGGAGCTTCACCCTGAGGAAAGAGGACGCATGTAATTTAAAAACAGTTGCCAAAGCAGACACGATCATCTGTGTGGACACACACTTGGTTGTACATACATGCTCCACTGCCCAAGTTGGCAGACACCCTGACAGTGTGCACCCATGTGCCACAGCTGTGGCTACACACACACACACACACA